TGAATCTACCTTCCCACCTTCCTTGGACTTTCTGGAAGCACTCATTCATCTAGCATATCAATCCTTCTCAACGAAATGTATTGAATGAAACAACAAACAAAGTCATGTCGGGTCCCCATCCCATCCATCTCTCACGGTTGATGGCTGTAACTCTTGCATAGTCACGATCCACACTGTTAAGAAAATCAGACGTTTCATGAGTCGATACCTTCATTCGTAACACCTGATCTGACCTTAATATTCCTAATAATCATCCACTGCATCCACATTAACAATCACAACATCATCATCATTATCATCTAATCATCCTTTTCCAACCTCCGTCTCGTCTTTCTCAAACCTCGAATCTCGAATATCATGTAACAATCAACAGTCCAACTAACAACCGCCATATCCGAATGGCAAAACACACGTACACTACCTAGGGCCTACAATATTTAGTCCCAAGCTACTGTATCACCCACAAGTCAGTCTACGATACAGCACCAATGTAGCACATCCCGTCTCCAGAAACCACCAAAGTTCGAGCTTTGACTGGCTTCAACTATACTTTGCAACTTTGACAGGTCTGACCTCCGTCACATACGCACACACACACATATACACATACACACATACATCAAACTCACAGCTCTTGCCGCAATCCAACCTCCAACCTCCAACATTCGTTCATCTCATCCCATTCTCCCTCATCGGCGATCCCGTCATCAAACTATGATGATATTCGTAAATTCCAAGACCAGCCTCCAGACTCTCGGACTTGTTCTCCGTACATCAATATCAATGTCCACATCCACAATCAACATCAAAGCCCATTGCTATGATCTCATGCACACAACATTCATCACATCACATCACATCACACCTCATCACAGCTCCCCTCACATCATCCGTTCCCATTCCCGCGATATCCACCTCCAATTCCCCTTCCCTATGCATCAGAGAATAGATTCAAACAAGCAATCCTCAAACCCATCTACCAAAACCAACCCTACATCCGACTCTCGGAAAATGCCATAATCCCATCTCCATCTCACCTATAACCCCCCAACCTAACTATTAGCCGCATACTCCATACACACCAACCCAAGCCGCCCCATAAATTCCATTTAGCCTACCCAGCCCATCGGTATTGCCCTCTCGCGCGCATAATCGATTCGGCATTGCCGATTACACTGCTGTCAGTCATGTCAACCTAGTATTCCCTCTAGTAACTCTACTCTCCTCTACTCTCCTCTGCATCCATTACATTTTCTCTCTTTCCAACCATCCTAACCATCCACATCCACATCACCATCTCTTTCTCTCATCTATACAATCCATCCCATATATTAAATCTACACCACCAGTTTCACATTCCACCTGCATAAATCACACACTTACTCGACATCCATCACCAGCTAAACAAGCTCAAACACAAATCCAATTTTTCTTCCATTTCTTCTCCTCATTACCAATAACTATGAATCGTATATACATCTAGAACTATCGTATACTTCCCCTCTGACTCACTCACCTACGAAACTCAGCCTATCCATCAAGTCTTATGATTCCCATATGAGGATATCCAATTCATAGAGACGATCGAAACCGAAAGATTGAAATTGAAATCACATCTCTATATTTTCAAACTCCTTTACTAACTCCAATCCTCAACATCTCGAATCACGGATTACATCCAAATCCAAATCCAAATCCAAACATTCATTCCTCATCTTACAATCTCTAGAATCCTGTTCTTCATATCAAAAATTCTAACATCTTATCCTATCTATCATCATTTAATCTCAAAATAGTAACAACATCAAAAAAGTATACCGAGTTTTTCCATCCTTTATATATATTATCCATTATATACATCGAAACTAGATATACATTTTCTCTTCTCTGCTCTTACTATTATACTGTGTATTTATGAATTTATTTCCTCTTTATATCTTTCAACTCTAAATATATAAACACAAATACAAATACAATATAAAGATATCCGAAATCCAAACCCCAATATTTCGTAAACCAAGATAATCTCTCGCATCCCTCTTTTTCTTCTGTATATTACTCTGACTGGTATAACTACCTCTCCATTTATTCAACACATCTATCTATCTACTGCACCTCATATTCCCACCTCAATTCCCAATCCCCAATCCCCAGTCATTCTCATACACAATACTGCTCTCCATACAATACTCAAGTTACCAAGCTTTCAAAGTTTCCAAGCCCCCTCCTATACTTATTCATTTCCTCACTATCTCTATATACTCATCCTATCCCTATATACTTATCCCATTCTATAGAAATATTTTATACCCATAATCCAATCCATCCAATCCAATCCAATCCAATCCAATCCAATCCAATCCAATCCAATCCAATCCAATCCAATCCAATCCAATCCAATCCAATCCAATCCAATCCATCCAATCCAATCCAATCCAATCCAATCCAATCCAATCCAATCCAACCACCCGATCTCAATCCTCCCCTCCCTCCTACCTTCCCCTGCCTTTTACCTTCCCCCGCCTTTCTCTAAAACCCCCATCCACTCTCACATTCATCCGCTAAAAGACTAAACCATCCTCCCCCCTCCCTCTTTTTCCCCAATCCACCTCATTCATTCAACAAATCCATCCACCAATCCATCTACTCAAATCTTTCTCTTTCTCTTTCACATCCCCATCCCCATTCCCTTCCCCTTTTCCCTGCCCATCTCCATAACCTTTCCTCCCATCTCTTCCGCCCCTCCCCAAAACCCCACAAATCTCATAAACCCCTCAAATCCCACCCAAACAACCACTATTACCATCTTCCCACCTTCCATCCATATCAAACTAGCTTAATTACCTTACCTATCACCCTCTCATTTCCCTTCTCAAGAACCGCATTTTATATCTAAGCGAGCCTCCTTATTTCTTCCCTACCCACGACATTTACACTATAGTACTCCCATGACTCCCATCACCACCAAATCATCTCCATCCCTCAACATACACAAGGAACCCTCTACTTCAAATCTCCACTTCAAATCTCACCATCACCATCACCATCACCATCAAATCTCAAATCTCAATCTCAATCCCAATCTCAACACACCACCCCCCACCCCCCCCCCCTCCCCTTAATCAACTTCCATTATCCATTCAAAAAAAAACAACCACCAAAACCGCAATAACAAACACAATAACACGCACGCAACCATCAAATCCATCAATCCATCTACACATAGCCATCATATCCATAATATCCATCATATCCATCATATCCAGCATACCTACCACCTCCGACCTACCCTATCTCCCCCCTCTCTCCCCTCTCTACACCCCCCTCTCTCTCCCCTCCTCCCTCTCTCCCCCGCTCCCTCCCTCTCTCCCCCCTCTCCCCTCTCTCTCCCCCTCTCTCCCCTCCCCCCCTCTCTCTCCCCTCTTCTCACCCTTTATCTCCCCCCTCTCTCCACTATCTATCTCCCTTCTATCTTCCTCCCTCTTCTTTATACCACCCTCTCTCCCACCTCTCTCCCCTTCCTCCTCCCACTCCCCCACCCATCCCACCCCACCCCAAAATCAACAAAAAACAAGTAGAAAGGCAAATTCAAGCTTTTCAAAATACTTATCAATTATCAATCTATATACAATCCTCTCTATTCAATTCTTTATTCCTTCTCTCCCTTCCCCTTCCCTCTCCACCCAATTCTTCATTCCTTCTCTCCCTTCCCCCTTCCCTTCTCTCCCTTCCCCTTCTCTCCCTCCTCCCTTCCCTCTCTCCCTCTCCACCCAATTCTTCATTCATTCTCTCCACATCCCCTCTCCCCTCTCCCCTCTCCCCCATCCCCTCTCCCCAAAACGTAAAAGCAAAATCACAAAATCACAAAATTCAAGAAAATCAGCACACCCAGCACACCCAACACAGCCAAAACCCAATACACTCTCCTAATAATCATCATTATTTATCGATTCAGTCCAATTAAATTCAGTCAATTCGATTCTTCACCTAGCCTACTTACTATTCTACAAAAACTTTTCCAACAAAGACTCGATTAAAATAACACCACTTCAACAACTAATTGCCCTTTCAAGTATCAGTTCACTTCCATCCAGACTCCTATTCTCCAGTCCTACACCAAGCCCCGGCAAATAAAAGACACTTCATCACCATGCAAAGAGAAGAAAGAAAAAGTGAGAGAAAAGACATATCTATCAAGGGCATTATTAGACTATAATACAAGCTTTGTATGGAACCGACGCCAGATTCAATAATTGTTAAACTTATGCTGCAGTGGTACTTCACAAGCCGATGCATTACAGAGCCTAGTTATGAGTCCTGTCCCCCCTTGGAAACTCCTCTCTTCATCTTCCATCCTGACCAACTTAACAATTGCATATACCAAATGTATGATCTGGAGGTTCACTTTCGAGATACCAACTCAGTTTATCAGATACCACACACAAAAGAGTTGTGAGAAACTTTCTGTCGACTTCGCAATTCGTCACCCATCCCCCCCTTGTATTTATTCTCCTCCTGTTCCCCCACCGCAATCATTTAACTGCCCCTCGGAGATTTTGATAAAAGTTAAAAAAAAAGAAAAAGACACGGAAGAAAATTGGAAGATGTCGTGTGTTGAGAGTGTAAAGTTAAAGAACAAGTGTCTCTGCAGGATATCGTCGCAAAGTCCCAGTGCTTAAGAACGCTGATGAAAAAGCAATGCAATAGGACCTCCCATAGAAACAAGAACATCGAAATGAAGAATTATTGTGCACAGAATCTTATATGCGCAACTGGTTGGGCCCGCTATTTTACTGTATTGGAAGTAATCGATCGGAAAGGGCCATCTGTCGCTGAGGTATGATGGATACTGCTGTAAAGACTTCGACCAATCTATGCCGAAAGCCATGAATATTAAGAAGTCGTATTTGGGAGGGCGATTAAGTAAAAATGGGATTGCCAAATGAAGAATGACACCGCATGCGACGAAAATTCGTTATCGTCGAAATAATAGACCAGATCTACATGGCCCAAACCTTGAGCTGAAGTGGGAGTAAAATAGTGTAAGTTATGTGGACCAGAGTTTGAGCTGAAGGGAGAAATGGAAAAGTTAGTTTGAGATAATGGGAAGGGAAAAAGAACAGAAAGCTATCGCAACTTACCAATGAATCCCATGATCCAGTGCACAAACTCATCCCGTCATTACTAACACCCAGACAACTGACACGGTTGTCATGTCCAACCAATGATCCGACCTTCTCGGCGCGAGTGATATCCCATACCTAGGCAAGAGGTTAATATCAAACTTTTTTTTGACAATGGTTAGCTTGATAATAGCTTACCTTGCACTCAAAATCATCATAACCAGCGAATAAAAGCCTGCCAGACACAGAGCAGGCCACAGATGTGATACCACAGAGAATAGATTCATGCTAGATGTTGTTAGTGAGAAGTTCAGGAAATCTAGAAGGTGAAAACGTACTCCATATTGATTAAGCTCTCTATCAGCACGAATATCAAAAAGTCTGCAGGTAGCATCATCGGAGCCGGTGACGAAGGAATGTCCATCTGGGAAGAATTGAATGGCGTTGATATCTGATTCGTGTCCTGCGAAAGTTTGAACAGCCTTGCCTGCACGAACGTCCCAAAGTTTCGCAAAGGCATCACAAGCGCCTGAAACAAATGTATTTTGGTTAGTTGGATTAATACTGATGCTCATAACATCGCCCAAATGGTCTGCGAACTCGGTAACTTTTGATCCTGTTTCGACATCCCACTTCATACAAGTCATGTCTCCTGAAGACGTAAGGATACTTCGGTCATTGATGAATCGACAACACGAAAGGTAACCGGAATGTCCAGAAAGTTCCCGAGCAACTCTTGTAGGTCCGTCACGGTTTGAGTTTAGGTTGTAGATCGAACAAATGTTATCCAATCCACCACATGCGACGTAATTACCACTTGGTGCATAGGCACAGGTCATGACCCACGAAGATCGTAGAGGAATAGCATGGACCTTGTTGGTTGTGTATGCATCCCAAATAATTAATTTACCGTCTTGCGATGCTGATACCAAATGTCTCCTATCAGTTGACCAGTGCATTGCATAAATCTTTGCGAGATGTCCTTTTAATGTCTTTCGAGTCTTCATCATTTGATTCTTTGGTAAAGCTTCTTGTTGAGCCCTCGCAAGGTTCATCACTGTAACATTATTAATTAGTATGCAATCGCAGAGATCAACAACACCAAGGTGATGAAATTGGATATTGTTGTGAGAGCTGAAAGACAATTGTTACTTACGCGTTGCATCTGCCAAATCGTCCTTCTTGCGCTTTATCCTATCTTTTAATGACTCTGCTTCACGACGGGCTTGTTGAATACGCGACTGCATCGCCTCTGGCGATACATCGTTCGAGTTTGACGACATCTCGGTCGGATTGATGGATGGGTGAGTTATGAATTCAATTGAATCTCAGCTTGATAATTATCGTTATTGTTTCAATTGTTGATGAGGCTGTAGGGGGTTGCGACCAAGTGGATGACAGCTTCTTCCCGAATGTGTTGGTTGACGGAGATTTGGAATTGGCTGAATGTAAGCAATTCAGCTATCGGAGGTATTGAGGAATCTTTTCGCTGATTTGGATTGGATTGGATGGGTGGTGTCGTAGTATGGTATCGATCGAATGGTGCTGTTTTGAGAGTGATTGTTTATGGCAATTGCCGGGTATTAGTGCAAAGATCTTTCTCTTCTTTGTTGAAATGATTAAAATGAAGTATATCAAAGTACAATAAGACCAAGTCTGTCTTCTCCTTCTTCAACTGTGGAACGAGGCTTGTATGGAAGAGTTTCCTTTCGCTCAGATCTGATGAGTTGAAGAAAGTTGAGGCAGAGGCAATCTTGACGGAATGGAGAAGGATGATTGATTGATTTAGAAGGTACAGTAGTGCAGTGCAAGTAACACCCAGTTATTCTGCGTTGCTGCTTGCTTTTTCTCGGCTAATTGGCCGAGATGGGACTAGTTCTACTGGGCTGTAGCTCTCTTTTCGGTCTGGGCTAAAATCAGAGGGGAGAAGGAAGCCGGTGGGAAGTGGTAAGATTTGGGTTTAGTGGAAATCAAATTTAATAACGGGCGAGGAAGGGGGGAGAGGGAAGAGAGAGAGGCAGAGGCAGAGTCTGAGAGGAATTTGTTATTATTGGTGATAGTAGGGGAGAAAGAAGAACAGGAGAGGAGTAGTATGTACACAAGTCAGTAGATGGAAAATCGAGATACCTAGGTAAGTAGTAGGTAAGCACCTAGACAGGTATGAGGATGAATGTGAGGCGCTCAAGTGATTATCAGTGATTCCATGGATTGCCAGAGATTGTCAGGTCAGTGAATATAGAAAATTAGCCCCCCTCCCCTCCCCCCGTTTAATGAATTAGGTATGTGAAGAAAAGTAAGATAAAAGCAAGCAGGTTCGCCAGGTCAAGCCTCAACTTTCACAAGATCAAAGCAAAGGCGATTAACTTCTTTCTCTCCTGAAGAATAAACCAATCAAGGCTGTAGATCGAATCCATCGCAAGCTACCTACCTACTAGGGATGTACTGTTTAAGGATATCAATTCAATTTACGGACTCTCAGATTCCTCTACGAGAATTTTTATATACATCGCGATTGGTATTCTGCATATCACGACTATCTATTGGGTAAGAGGAAAAAAGAAAAGGAGAATGGGGAAATTAAATAAAGTGACTACTAGGTAGCTAGTATACGAGTGTACCTACCCTACGAGCCTACTACCTAGGTATCTCTTTGCTTAATAATTATTCACTCTCTGTCAGTGTGTGTTGATACAAAGTGGATTGAGTGAATGAATGAAGGATGATATAATTTCCAAATAAGCTACAAGAACGCCGAGGTAGGCAATTAATAAGTAGGTTGGTAATAATTACTAGGTAGGTAGGTAATTATCCCTAGCAGAGCGCTTTCCCCCTTCTTTCAGCATCAAGGTGGAGGATGTGCAAGTATTATGGCCAAGACGATTGTTCCAATATGTACAGACTACGATACAGACTACGATACAGACTACAGAGTACCGACACTGTACACCACTCACACACCACTCACTAGATTGCTTGGACTGACTTGTATCTTGTACCTGCTTTCACTACCGTCCTATCTGCTTGCAGCGGCATTCCATAAAACAATAGTTGGAACTTGGAAGATCCACCACCTTACTTCTTATCATGATCGCGCTCGACCTATCTCATATTGATATCATTTATGAATATCACTCTCAACTCTCAACTCTCAAGCACAAGAAAGAGAAGTATATATCATTTCTCCTCTTGGTCTTGGATTATATCGTGTAGAATGTCCAATTCCACGCAAAGAGAAGTTGAAGAAGGGGCAGAAGAAAGAGGATCTTAACTTTCCCTTTACGGTACTATCTTGCTTGCATCCTGCACGTCGCAACATGGTTCTATCGGTGGGACTTTTTCTTTTCTATAAATTACAGATGCATATTGATCAGCAGGGCACCAAATGGTAAATTGCTTCTAGTCGTATGTAGTATGTACATATCATATCCAATTATCTATTCGGTCTCCAATTTGCTTAGCCTGCTGTCAATTAATACGAAAGGTTGGCCTATGAGATTGAGAGCGCACATGAAGATGCATCATTTGTCATATCTACTACCCCATCCCACATTATTGTTTCCTTCTTTTCTTCTTCTTTCAATTGCATCGATATATATCGATTTATCGATATATTGATATATTGATTTCAACGATGGGTAACGGGTCACTTGTTTTACCAATTAGTCCGCAAACTTGGCTCTCGATTGCGTACCGACTCCCAACTGCTCCGTACCAAGTACTACCTGGTACCTACCTACGCCGTGGGGAATCCCTTTGGTTCCCGTTTCTTTAAATTTCGACCAGGATAAATATCGGGGACTTGATTTCAAATTGGGTCAAGACTCAAGCATCAGAAGAATCAGGGTCGGGTATTTTACTATTGGGATCGACGGGGATTGGGATGGCAGGCTGAGGCAGGTTCTACTCCGTCTTTCATAATATATCCCTACTTCTCTTCAAATGATTATCGATAGGTAATCAAATCATCTTCTCTTTTGGTCGTTTGGGAACTCTTAAGCGTTCCTGGGAATCCCACAGATCCCGTCGAAACATATAAGGAGTCCCTTTTTGTTTGGCGCAAGAACAGGAAAGACTTTCCGGTAATCTGATCCATTCTATTTCTCTTTATCATCGTATCCATCTATCCATTTTTCCCATCTGGACATCAAATTTAATGGTACGATATCGCGCAATTAAGTCTGTTACCCCTTCATCTGCCGCGACACTGCACGGGGACCACGACGACCTCAAGGCTCAAGATCATTTCGAGACCCGGTTATTGAAGATTAATCAAGCTCTATGCAGCAGGCAAGTGGTCATCGCCGCTCTTGGTTTCTACAATGTACGGACTACCCAGCACTGGGCCAGCAGGTATAGGTAGGTATCTTTAATTGCATCTTTGCTTGAGCTTCTACAAGGAATTATTCATAAAAGAACGGATGAAACATTTCTATCATTCCTATTGGGCGAATAGCCAGTCCACAATTCTTTCACGATATCCATTTGGAATTTTGGAGTACTTTCCCATTATGCAAAGTGGAGTGGGGAGTTTATACGCACAAATTCAGTATCTACCGATTCTCAGATTGGAAGATCTCCCGAAGTTAAGTTTGACAGTCATTGATGGAATTTGATTCGTCAGAAATAAAATTGGTCATCAAGGAATCCTACCGCTTTCAAGGTTAGCACCATTAAATTATTGCTGCATGAGAAAAGTGCATGCAGCAATCAACTCTTCCAGATTCAGGGAAACAAACATCCGTAGGACCAGGACAACACAAACACTATATCGACAAAAGTCAAAACTAGATTGCAACTCTACGCAGTACGCAGCAGTTTCATCTTCTTCATCCATTCGAGACAGATTATCAAGGAGCCACTCTCGCGCAATGGATTCATCAAGCTCGGAAGTTATTGATTTCACATCCTTGCCAAAAATTGAAGTAAGTCTTAAAGGTTACATGCATATTCATACTGTACATACTTCGTACATATGATTTAATGTCCGTCAAATCCCCACCGGATTTTGGTACCCTAACGGCTGCATGAATCAGATTGACATAAGGCTGAAAGATACTTCTTACATAGTTACATGCTCATCTAAGTGGAAGTATCAGTCGACAATGTCTTCATGAAGTATGGCTTCAGAAATGGGAAAAGGGTGAGACTACAATGCAAGATCCATTGGTTGAGATGCCAGTTGATAAATTTGATTATGATCTTGAGACGTGAGTTGTTTTCTATTATATTCACTACTTTCCGCCTCGAGCATACTGGGACAAACAAACCATTGCGTTTAGGAGCATTCAAGAATTCGTGGACACCGTAAATGCAGGCCATAGTAGCCTTACAGGTTGACGATATTCCGGATTGCTATCTAGCCGTGATTCTTTTCAATTGTTCTGCATTTGACTCAAGGTTCAAATTCTCCGAGGTGTTGAATCCACTTGCCTCATCAAAACCGTTCTTGAGAATTTCTGGCTTTTCAAGCACTACAAGCTATTCAAGCACCAGAAGATTGGATTCAATTTATTGATTCGAACGATGGATACTTCACTTTTTAACCTCGTGCAACCCTTCCATATCTCATTTCATGTCTTTCTAGATTCTTTCCATTATTCTCCAAATATATTTACGCTCTCGTCAACGACCTTGCCTCCTTGATCTATACCACGAACTCCGTTCTTTCAGATTTTCAAGCAGATGGCGTCATCTATCTTGAACTCCGTACCACACCTCGAGCCATCCCTTCCGCAGGTATCACCAAAGAAATCTACGTCCAAACAATCCTCGACTGCATCGCCCAACACAACAACTCCAACGGTTCCATGAAAACAAACCTGATCCTCTCTATCGACCGCCGAAATGATGCTCAAACAGCTATGGATGTCGTGGAACTAGCATACAAATACCACGGCAAAGGAGTCGTAGGAATCGATCTCTGTGGCGACCCATCTGTAGGCGATGTATCTATCTTCGAACCCGCTTTCCTCCAAGCTCAAAAATACAGCCTCAAAATCACAATCCATTTTGCAGAAGTGGCACAAGCACCTACTAGCATGGAACTCAAAACACTTCTATCGTATCAACCGCATAGAATAGGACATGTAATCCACGTACCCGAAAATCTCAAACCGGAAATCGAGAAGATGGGAGTAGGATTGGAACTCTGCTTGAGTTGTAATGTTCATGCGAAAATGATCGTAGGCACGTATGAAGATCATCATTTTGGGGAGTGGTGGGCGAGAGGCGCGAAAGTGATTTTGTGTGTATGTGTTTAGTTTTCCTTTACTTTCTTCTTCAA